CTCTCTTACCGTGAGCTCACCTTTCGTTTTTACTTTGTCTTTTTTGGAATTTTCAACGAAACGCACAACATAAGCCATAATTTTTTGTAATTTGAACCACGATGAAACTTGAGCTAATATGTTTGGTTCTTTTACTGTCACATTGAGTATCGATAATTCGCGATTTGTGTCTATTAACGTTTCGAAATCCACTTTTCCCGGCGTTTTGTCTACGTCTTGTAACAAGAATTTTGGCCCGTGCCACCACAATTTATGTGTCGCAAGTTCACTTGGGTATATACCCCTTGAGGCGCAATCCGCTGGATTGTCTATGCCGCTTACATGAAGCCACACCGCATTTTGTGTTTTGTTTTTTATTTTAAGCACTCTTGCAGCCACAAATGACTTCCATCTCTTTGGATTGCCCTCTAACCATGCTAACACTATTTTTGAGTCTGTCCACAAAACTACATCCGCAAAATCAATTTTCATAGTGTCCATGACACTTCGTGCTAATCTGGCCAACAATACTGCACCACATAACTCCAATCTCGGGATTGTCAACGTTTTTTTACCAATTGGTGCCACTTTTGTTTTTGCTACCAATAGATTTACACTTATTTCATTGCTTTCACTCCAATTTTTTATGTAGATTTCAGCCGCATACGCTGCATTGCACGCGTCACAAAACCCGTGGAGTTCGGTTTTTGTGTTTTTCGTCGTTTCAATCCAACGCGGAATATTCAATTTCGTTATTAACGGGAGTTCACTTTTTATTCTTGCCCAACTTAACGACATTTCTTTTGGCAACTGGTCATCCCAGCTGAAGCGTTTACCGTCTTTACGCAACGACCATACTTCACGCATTAAAATTTTTGCTTTTGTCATTATGGGCGCAATCAATCCGAGTGGATCAAATAACGTTGCGACTTCCGAAAAAAGTTTACGTCTTGTTGTCGCTAACGAACTAAGTTGCATATTTAACTTATATGTGAACATGTCAGTTTCCGGTCTCCATACCAAGCCCAAAGCTTTGATGATGTTTTCATTGGCGATTTCTCTGTCTTCTACTGGAATCCGACTCATCAATTCATTTGAATTACTACCAAACTTCCTTATATTGAATCCGCCACTTTTTAGGCCCGCCTTTAATTGTCTACACACCTCACTTGCTTCTTCGACAGTATCCGCTCCACCAGAAAAATCGTCCATGTAGAAACTTTCCAAAATCG